ACATGGGCCATCTCACAACTGTGAGCACTGAGCAACTGTAATGGCCTTTATAACTACAGAAACACAAACAGAATAGACTCACACACAACAACATGCTCTCTCTTTTGTTTTCGAGTTTAACTAAAAATGTTTTGTGTAAGAAAATGTAAACTGATGATACTGCAGCTATGGTGCATATTTTGCTATCTGGGTGAAACAGTTTTTGCACATATATGTGGTAAAAAAAGGTCCTAAGCTTCATCCACAGCACATCCGCAGTCTTTTGGAGTAGCGTTTGTCAGTCAATGTAAGTCCAATATTTACTTATTTATTTATAGTATAGCTCTGTTTTGTTCTCCACCAACTCCTGAGTGAAATATCTGGCTCTTTAACTGCTCCACTATGTTCACTAGCTAATCGATAACTATGTCTGTCTGCTGTTTAGTGCAGGGCAGACATCGTACATTCATTTTTTTAGAGCTTTTTTAATGAAAAAGTCTGTCCATTTACAACATTGATAAGACACATCATATTGGTAGGTTAGTATTTCTACTCTGCAAGTAGAGCATATGTATAAAAGAAAAAGTTGCCCCCCCAGCTGGTTAACTGCCTATGCAACTGTTGGGACTTAAGTGATGTCGTTATTTTCACACACAGATTTTGGACCAATGAAATTACAGTACCAACATCATCTGCCAGTACCAAAACACTGTGCCCCCTGGAGAACACTAACACAGGAGGCGCTGTCACATTAAAACTTAAATTTCTTCTTTTTTTGATGCTATTGAGAAACTGATCGGGTTTCTTGAGTTGCACCAAATTGAAAATAGTATTGAATTTCATCAGTTCAATAAGTTATATATTTATTACAAGTGAATTTTTCTTGTGTTGTGTCTTTTGATGTTTTCACTGTCCTTTAATGATTACTTAGGAAGTCAATTTCTCTTTATATGATCAAAGTGCCACAACAGTAACCAACAAAACTTGTCCTCATTTAAGAATACTATTTAAATTCTAAATTGTGCTGATGTTACATCTGTCATTTAGCAATCATCACTGATTTGCTACCTTTCATGAAAACACACTTGCTGGCCTCTCTGCTTTGTGCCAGCTCTCCATTGTAAGAGAAAATATAGAAATGGTAAATACTTAAAAGCCAGGCAGCAGAGGCAATAGCTGCAGTGTGAAATCCATCAGACAGGCCACAAGTGTTGGCATATGATGGAAATGGCGGATAAGCCCATGTGTTTTGCTATAGGAGTAGGTGTAGTGAAAGGGGATCAGTCCACAGCAGTGTTTAGAGGTTCAAAAGCCCCTCTGGGGAGGAGAACGGATCGATCCTCCTTGGCCAGGAGCCAATCCTCTCCCTGCCTTCAGCCAGATATTCATCCACACTATATATACGCCTCTAAGCCTTCAGTTATACTGTATCTACAAAGCACTGGGGTGCAGGATTTCACCACAGACTGGTGTTCTTCTCCAGTAGTTGAAGTACGAACTCCATGCCCTGTGTTTTTGAATGACAACTAAATGCAGATGTGTTTTGGTTGCTCTCCACAGAGAGGGGCCCTGCCGCATCGTCTGTGGTGCGTGCATTGTCGTCATGGTGCTCTGATTAGAGGGAACCACGGAGATCAACTATAGCTGCTATTTCATTAGTCGGAGTAATTCTGCCTGGTTTCTACCCACAAGAGCTCCTCCCAAGCCCACAGGAGAGCAGGGCACCCCCACACAGCCTGCAGGGACAGGACACCAACACCACAGCTGGTAGAGTGCACCATCACACACACGTCAGCAAACTCACATGTGCAGACACAAGGACATATACACACACTGACGACGCAAAGCACACTCAACTCCCTTTGCAGCTCTTGCCAAAAACACAGCCTCAGAGGATGAGATCACTGGTTCCGCGACAAAATGGGGCTTTCCCACAGGGATACTCCATAAGCCTGCAACAGAGAAAGTGACTGCGGGTCACCTGCTGAGCTACAAATATAGCAAACAGCAGAAGTGAAACAAATACATCAAAATCCACATTAAAACAACCAGGAATCTGGGCCTCATGGGAGATCGGATCGATGGCTGGCAGAGGTTTGCCCATGTTTGGGGACAGGAAGAGTGTGTGCAGAGGAGGAGGAAAGAGGAGGGAGAGGAGGCATTGGGATTCTGAGCTGCTGTCCGTCAGGCCCTCTGTGACAGGTTTATCCCAGCCAAGAGGGAAGGTAACACACCGAACAGCACAATGAGGAGCGATAAACGTCAGGCCTAGCCCCAGCACCGTGGTAATGGCTGACAAACGGCTCAGTGGCTCATCTCGCAGCCAGTCAACCCCAGACACATGTGCTGCTCTGTGTTATGTTCTATCAGAGGGGAAAACACCAACAAGAACAGCAGAAATCCTGCCAGGCAGCAACTTATACTACAATCCTCCTGACAGTCATGCAGAAATGCTGCCATGCTCATATTCAGCAATTCTTACAATAACATTTTCTTCATAAAGAATAGAAAAACGCTGATGTATCAAGTGATATATACTGTTTATACATAAAATATGTAGAGCCAATACATACATTGCTCATTCAATATATATTTTTCATATCCTCCAGGCTCCAGGCATTTTCACGTCTTCAATAGGCCTTACATCTGCTTTTCATTTCTTTATGTAGCCCTTTTGATATAATAGAGACCAAATAAAACATAATACTTGTCCTTGTCTGGTGTCTACATGTTTGTATTTTTCTAATGATGTAGTAACTAAAATGTACTGAAATGTTCTTCTAAATGGGTCACCAGTGTGTAATAAAGCATGTTGACTTTATGTAGCAACAGAGCAGGATAATGACATGTTATTTTTCCATAAAACATCATGTCCATCCATTACTATTTATTTAATGCTCATATTTATTTTTAAAGGGGTAAGTATACACAGCTTTGCCCAATGCCACATACCACAGAATGTATAGCCTGAATGGACATCTGTAGATTAAACCACACATGCAGTGTAACGCAAAAGCACATACGTGACCACAACATATTACAGTTGTGAGTATTAAGTTTTTATCCATTTCATTGCATTTTGACAGTGTTTTTGATTTTTGTTGACAGCCATAAGACTATATTCTGTCTTCTGAATAACACTGCCAACTAAATCCAGAAATATGTATTGATGCAAGTGTAAATAAACCATTGCAAATGAATGAAAGTTAGCATTATACAAATTAGGGCTGGACAATAAAACAATAACAATAATTATCGTGATATAATTTTATCGCTATAACAATATAACAAATGCTCAATAAATATTCAATAAATGTTTGATTTTATTCACTTGAATCATACACGAATTAGGACTTAATTTTTCTATTAAGATGTTGATTTTGTTGAGGAAAAAGGACTGAAAAAAAGCTTTTACTTGATTTTACTCATGCGTATTTCTTGAAGATTTTATCAGAATTGTTTTGAATCTCCCACCTCAGATTTGTGAAGTGATCCACTGTTTGGCCTCAGGTGTTGACCACAAGAAGAGTTTAAACCACAATTATCCATCAGGTTTCTTCAACTTTACCCCAGGAGCAAAAATCAGCCTTTAAACTCAAAAGAAATAACGATTTGATACTTATCGTGATAATTAGCGATATCAAAAGATATGAAACTTTTTATTGTGATAACATTTTTGGCCATATTGTTCAGCCCTAACACCATGCACAGGGAGGTCCCGTTCCGTATGTCCGATGTACCTCTGTGGATGCTGTGATGTTACATAATGCTTTAACATGAGAGTTTTATTCTTTTTGCTTCACATCATCAATGGAGATGATGAAACATTGTTTTTTTTTTATTGTAGACATGACCTATCTCTTGATCATCCAACACAAAAGTCACAATGAGCAACTTGATATATAAATGACACTAACACAGAGATATGTAGCTGAATCAGAGGTGAAGAATTATTCAAGAAGCTGAGATTTATCCATGGCTGATTCTAACAGATGTCTAAAACCTCCCCCATATCTTCACTTCAACCACTGGGACAGCAGGAAGGTGAATCCACACAAAATGAAAAACACAGAGTGTGTGTTGAGCCTTGGTGGAGTACAGCAAAAACATCTGGTCATGTTTAAAAAGGTAACAGTCATCAGAGAGAATTAGTCAACCAAAACAGGCTGTGGAGGGTGGATTGTACTATAAAGCGACATGTCATGTACTACTATTATAATTATTATTATTAATAGAGGTAATGGAGCCATCAGTCTAGATATTGTAGGTCCCGTGCTCTATTACAGAACCCACATAAACATAAAACTAAAGAAAACATTTTTGACTGACCACTCAGTAGTTTAGGCATAGTAGGATATTAATTCAATGTCTAATGTATAACTGACTTTTTACATTAACTGTATATTCTTTTTTGTGTGGGGTGAAATAAATTGAGGTAATTTGACAGAAACATGGTACTATACTCATATACATATACAATAACTATATCTTAAACCACTGATTGACATTTTTGCAAAGGAATGACAACACATTCGATAAATACAATAATCTGAGGAGAGTGGGGAGTGTCGCAATAAGCTACAGAACTCATTCGCCTGATGAATGCACAGCCCCTTGACAATGGTGACCTTTGGCAAGGTCATGACATTCCAGCAGCCGCATAAAGACACTCCCGATGTGAATAAATTATTGCTACACTTGAGTCATCTGGGTGCTTTGTGTCCTGTTTGTTGCAGCGCCTCTAAGCTCAACCTGTGGCTCATCAACATGAGTCCCAAAGCACATGGGGGATTCAGGACTCTCACTTATTCCCCTGAAAGTTACATAAGATTTGTCTAGCAACCACATCAAGGCTGGCTCTGTTTTAATCAGTCCCAATGGGATAATATGACATAATGTGTGGTGAGGACAACCAAATATTGTTTATTTATTGATATATTTAAGACATTAGAAGTACTGCGTAAATATGTGCATATCTGTGACATCTGTATACATAGACAGGAAACTGCCATGTCTCTTACCTGTGTCCTGTCGAAATTGGTGCATGGACTGCAGGTCGATGATGTAAGGAGAGAGCTGGCCATCCACCTGTCCTAGAACTACAGTTCCCCGGGCATCCCCCTTCAGTACATTCTCAATATGGTGGCAAACCGCTGCAGTGTAGGGCCTCCAGCGCCCATGTTCGTTCAACCACTCCCAGACCACCACCCTGGCCAGGTTCTGAGGGGGGTACCCCAGACCATTGACAGGTACCAGCAACCCTGATCCTGGACGAGCCATCTTCTTCGTGGTGTCTGTGCTTCAGCTGCTGGCTATGTCCCGGCCTAGAACAGCACTGCAACCCTGTCAGTCAACTGACAACAACACTGGTACATTTTCATCACCACCAAATGGGAAAAGCTTGAATCAGCAATTAATATGGTAGTCCAGAATTATCTCATGCTGCTTTTAAGCAAGCAGCTCTGCTGGAGTCATCGTCTACAGGTACTTTCTGACTGTTGTGATTTTGATCAGCCAAATGCAGCCTCTGTCCTCTTGTGTCTTGTTGTGTTTGAAGTGGCAGACGTTGTTGATGATGATGGTGATGACGATGATGATGATGAGATTTTCAGCTCTAGCCGTCTCAGTCCTCCACAGGCAACCACAGCAGATAAGCAGCAGGTAGACAGGACACGCTCTCTAAACAAAAGATGAAGAGCAGAAACACACTAGTAAACACATTCTTATTTTTCAGCAGCCATGCACTGTTTCAGAGAAGGTGACACACAAACCAAACCAGTTCAGTCCCATTAGTGGCATGTACCTATTGGCAATTCTGTTTACTTAAAGTGTAATGACAAAAAATGTGTATGCCTGTGAGCTGTTTCAGCAGCAAAATAATTGTCACTGTCATTAGATTTTTGTAGAGAGGGCAGAGCAGTGTGCATGAATAGCCAGATGCTATCATAATCCTAGCAGACAGAATATCACTCAGACATTTTCCACATAGAAAGCTGTTCAGGTTCAATGGATGCAAAGCAAGGGACACTGTGTCTGTTGCTTCAATGATTTCTCAATACTATTACATCTTAAGGCTCATACGGAACGTTTTCGTAGCATGCACAACACGCACGAATTGATTCTGGCGATACAGACCTGTAGGCTGCAGTTGAGGTGCCACACATCTGTCAGGTAGAGGCTGCATTTCACAGGCTCCGGCCGAAAGACAAAACAGATTGCAAAAAGAAAAAAAAACGAGTTGCAGATCTCGAAACGCACCTGTCCCTTCACATCTGGGATTTATACGATTTCCCTTATCCTTAAAACTGAAGTCTTCCTTCAAACCCACCTCCCGCAGCTCCAGTTATCCTGTGTTATTGCAGAAAACCAAGACGTCGTTTTATCCCCGTGAATCTGCTACAGACTACACCAGCTTATTTTGTCCGCTGTGTTAAAGTCAATTCATGCCCCAGTTCCACGGTTTTCATTGTGTGAGATGCAGAGCCATTCTGCTGTAGACGCGCAGTTCTGCCTCCAAACATCATGCGTAATAAACACGCATTATTTTCTGCCCGCATATTACGCACAAATGTCCAGGCGCACCTGTATGGATAGCCGTTGAAAATCACCCAAAGTGTCAATTTCAGTAAATCTAAATGTTAAAACTTCCGGTGTCCGGTTTCAAAATAAAACCCCGCTCACCCATGAGTGACTACATGAATATGTGCTGGATAAGGTACTAACATTAAAAAGGGAAGAAAAAAAACACACTCTTCCCCAAAATTGTTTTCAGACATGACCATCATTGTATGGAGATATTTATTTTCACAGATGCAAATCTCGGCATCATACTAAATCATTCAGGGAGAAGTCTGACATCCTTGGCACTAAAACTGTAAAAGCAGTAACATGCAGCACAAAAGATGACGTGAATTACAGTACAGGAATGTACTCAGTGGTTACACTTACTTATTCTATTGGGGGTCCGTCATAGATAAAATCAAAACTAATCCATCAGAGTGGAGGGCAGGAAGGAGAACAGATGAATGCGGCCAGATCTGACAGCTACACAGGGAAAAAATGTCCATATAAATTAAACTATACTAAAAATAAACACTGCAACTTTTAGTGATAAGCTTGATATTTACTGTATTTAGTCACTCTACACAGACATATTTGTCTTATATTTAGTTGTATATCAGTTTATTTCGGTGTTAATATATCTTCCAAAGATTAAAAAGTATGAAATACCAAAGCATTTATTGGTGAGGTAAACCTGGCTGGGTGAAGATATGGTTCCTTGTTTGACTCCTCTTCATTGAAAGAAGTGAGATTACTGATTTCAAGTTTAAAATATTAGAGCTACATGTGGAACTATGCATAACCGTAATAGCTATGTATTGTGTGCAATATTGAAGATGCGGTTAGCATAGAAGAACTTGTAAAATGTTGGTAGAAGCATTACTATGGTTCCTCGAATTGTGTATATCGCAACCAGTTTTCTGTGGTTAATGTTGTCTTCACGGAGAGCATCATGATAGTGAGGTTTGCTAAAGTGTCTGAAACTGTAAGAAAGCTAGATGACAAAAGTACATCCTTGTTAAAAAATTGTCTGCTCTTTCTGCAGCTTATTTTACTGGCTTTCTAGTTCAAAGTATTTTTGCTTGAACTATGAGTTCAGTGATGTTTGTTCCTGTCAGAAATGATAAAACGTGTCTAATTAATAACACTGGCTATAGATTGAAACCCAAATAGCCTCACTGGTATGCTTTCCAAAGTGGTTGGTTAGAATTGCTTATATTTACGCATGCTTGCTTTGAAACACATTCCACAGATATTTCTGAAGACAGTTATAATAGCCAGCATGCCTCTAATACTTTGGATCAAATCCATTAAAATAAGTGTTAGAGGAGAATCTCAATATCACATCAAAATTCACAGCAATATTGGTATCAGATGATGCAGGTTGAATGGAGTAGCAATATATCTCCTCTCAAATCAGCAAAGGAATTAGGAAGGGTGGGATCTTCTCAAATTACTGTTTAACATTTACAAGTACTACTGGACAGTTTATGCTTGTAGTCTTTAAATACCCCTGATCATTATTTTGTAAGCAGATTTGGTGACATTTTTTTCATGGAGTGCTGGTCTTTGCACCTTTTCAGTACAAGGATGCTTTCCCCTTTATTTGACTACTTGTTGAGTTAAATTAAGCAGGGAGATCATCGGAATCTAAATTTTATAGTTGATTTTCATGGATGTTTGTTAGATTACTGTTGCTTCACATGGTTAACTGATGCATGTCCAAGGCTTTCATGTAACACAGGTTAATGTAAAATACTGCTAAATGGGACAACACTACCATCTGCTGACAAAATAATGTACCTGCAATGGGTAGAAAAAACAAGTTTTTTTTTAGCAATCCTCTGCAAACTCCTGAGATAAAGGCTCTGCCTCTCTGAACCTCTTGTTGGATATATATATATAGTGTTTTATATAATAAAAGTTGCTGCCCCACTGGTTACTTCCACCCTCAAATGTAAAATTCCTGCACTTATACATCTGACTCTGATACAGAAGTTGTTTCAGTTTTAGCTATATCTTGACACCATCTGGGATGGAGTAGCTTCTCTCCAGGTAGGCCTATAATTACACAAACAGGTTTGAATGGGATTATGTAATGTCACATTAGCATTAACAAATGATAGAATATTATTTTATTGTCATATTACTTATATCTGTAACTCTAGACATATTTCTAAATTGCACAAAATACAAACTAATTGAACAAATTGCACAAGTTTCATTTTTACCTAAACAAATCCATCACGAACACAGTTTCATCCAATCCACCACATGTTTACTCTCTATTATCTATTTATTTGGAAATGACACCATGTTAAAAAGTACCTGTACATAAATACAGACAGTGAAGTCCTTGGCATTGCTGAAAAACTATTGCTGCTTTCTGTTGATCTTCACAGATTTAAAAACAGAATATAGAAAAAAGATATTCTATATAAGAAATTAATACTTCATGACACTATGATGTTGTAATTAAGTAAAGGTAGACCTGTCTGTAAATATGAACCTCTGTACCAGTCCAAAATACTAACCATAGGATTATAAGGAGACCATAAAGTGATTTAATGTGTGATTTAATTTAAGATATGTGGAGGAGTTAAGGATAAAGCATTAAATACTCTCCCTTTTTTCAAACCCAAGGTATGCTTTTAATTTGGCTTAATCAGACAAGCTCATGCACCAGCTTCATATGCCACCCTGCACATGAGAGATGCAAAATGAAAGGAGCATGTAGGTTGGTCACCTTTAGGTAAGAAAGAAAAACACTCCTGAAATGATGAATATAGGAGAGCCCATGATAGGGAACCTTCACCCAGGTCAAACTCCACCAATGGCATCAATTATTTGGAGAGCAGCGCCATCATGTGGCCTTTGGTGGTAGGAACAGGTCACTCACTGTGGAGTTTTCCAGAGCTACAGGTTACTGCACAGTGGAGGGGCCATGAACAAAATAATGTATCATCAAGAGATGCTACGAATTAAACCTAATTACAATACGCCCGAACTTATTGGTAATAATGGTTTAATTAATGCTGTACCTAATCTATCAAGCAATCAATTATTTTCGAGCATTCTTGTTACAGTAATATATCATGTATGTTTTATTACAATATATCAGCAGAGACTGATATTGAAAGACATTGGAAGACTAACCAGGTTAGTTGACATTCACAAATTATAATACATATTTATATACATATTTTATATACTGTACATATAGACGGTGGGGGGGGGGGGGGGGGGTTAATTTGCATATGGAATAGAGGAATTCCAAAGTTATGTGATGCGTCATTAAGACATGATCGTTCTCACTGGAACGTTCCCAAACCTTCATGTCATCTTAAGATCTTAGCTGAGAAAAAACACAGTTTGAAAGTTTCACTCGACGATTTCACTGAACTGAAGACGCCCACCGATAATCCTCTAATAGGGGCCAAATGTTTTCATCAGGGAGGGTGTGAGTTTGAATACTTTTGAATCCATGTTGCCCAGGTAAGTAGGCTATCTCTAAACAACCCTGCGCTGATTGCAAAAATCAAACTAAGAGTGGAAAGACCATTTGTATAACTGTGGGACACGTTCACATATCCTTAAGGTAGCCTGACAACAGTGTGAGTCCTCCATCAGTGTCTATTAATGTCTAATAATTTATTGTTAGGTCTAGTGGAATTAATTTCATGGGGTAGTGTGGGGTAAGACTATTTGCTGACACATAAAATAATATTTTATAGGGTTTTTTGTATCTTGTAGATGACCATGCTTAGGGTAACATAATTTAAAGTTAAATAAATAACTTCCAGTTGACAAATAAATTTGATTACAAATTACAGATAAAATAAACTACAAGTAGCTGGTTGAAAGCAAGGGGATTATAGGCCTATGTTGTAGAAATAAACTTGCCTTGCCTTATGTTATTAGCTTTCCTATAATTTATTTCTCAGATTTTAAATAGTGAGGTTGCTAGGAACTTAATTAACAGAAAGTCTGAGGTAAAATATGTGCATGCCAGCTAGCTAGCTTGCTAGAAATGTGACCATATGTGAGCTTATAACCTCAGACTTTCTGATTATGAAGTTGTTGGTTGGCTAAAGGGTCTATCCAATGTCCAAATAACATCTAACTTACAAACAATCAACCATAAAGGGACACGCCGACCATGGGGGTGTCTTACCCCAAACATAGTAATCTAGCATTTTACTACTTTAACCAAAAACTATAAAAATCTTTCTCTCTAAACAGCTGCATAACTTATCTTAAGGCTCTCCTTAATGTAAATATATATACTCACACACACACACACACACACACACACACACACAGACACACACAGACACACACACACACACACACACACACACACACACACACACACACACACACACACACACACACACACACACACACACAGAGATACACACATATACACACACACACACACACAAAATATATATATATACTCACACACACACACAGACACACACACACACACAGACACACACACACACACACACACACACACACACACACACACACACACACACACACACACACACACACACACACACACACACACACACACACACACACACACACACACACAGAGATACACACATATACACACACACACACACACAAATATATATATATATATATATATATAGAACACGATAAAAAAATTACAGCTTATTTTATATGACAAAAAAATTAGATCAACTTAGGTCAGAATGGCTTTGATCAAATAACTTCAAAAATTGTGATGAAACAGAGGACATTTTTAGTTCAGTGATACCAGGGGCAGCCAGAAGAAAAAAAAATTGCGACATTTTGTGTTTTTTGTTAGAATTACCGTGGGGGGGCGTCTTACCCCATGTTACCCTACTGAATGTCAAAGCTACCAATAGCAAAAAAGAATATGGGTATATTGAATGCAGCTAACACATTAAGGCACACGCGATTCAAACGGTTTCTTTTGCACTGCACTGTGCTGCTTTCACTGTGGTGCAGCCAGTCAAAGTACGACACTCCTGGGATGCTATAGTATTATATGTTACTTTATTTAGTTGCA